GGTGATTTCCATCTCTAATTTTTCTGACTTCTGGAATTCAGATATACTGATCACAGTGATGTGGCTCTGTCTTTGATATATGTAGACATTTGGATGAAGAGAGAACTCACATGTGAAGCTCCAAAATAGTTCTTAAAAGAAAAAAGGGATTTGAGTTTTTGAAGGAATGAAGCTATACAGGTTTGCAGAAGTTTAATTGCTTTTCTAGTTACATTCAATTTATTTAGGATTACTATGATGAAATACCTGACAAAGAACACCAGTAATAGCTAATCTCCCAGCTAATTAAGAGCAGTTTACAGTTCTATGATGCCATTCTTCCCCAGAGGTAAAAAGTGGTTTACAAATGAATTAATAAAACATATGCAGTTAAAAATATTATCTACATTTACTGGTTGGTAAATGGAGGCCTAGAGAGACTAAAGTGATTGCCATGGTAACAAAGGAAATTTGTGTCAAGACCAGAAAAACTATGCAGAATTTTTTTACTGTCTTACGTACCAGTCTCTCTCTCTCCTTTTTTTTTTTTCTTTTTTTTTTTTTCCTTTCATGCCTTTGTATTGTTTCTTCCCCATCACTATGTGAATCTTTCTTGGCTTGTCTCAATTGCTTATTCCACACATATTTGACAGACATCTTCATATTTGCCAAGTCTTACATCAACTATTTTTTTTTTCAATACATGCAATAATATAATTTGACCTTTTGATATATTTTATATTTTAAGGTTGCCCTGTAATGAGATGTGGTAAAGAAGATATTACTATTTCTGTAAGGCATCTTAAAGCAGAAACAGCCTGTGTTCCCAACTGAGATATACATAATGATGATATGATATACATACAAAGGAGAACTAATACCAAGGGGTTTATCTTCTAGCACTGAATTAGAATAAAGATATTGTTTCTTTGGAGAGGAGCACTGGGTAAAACACTCCACCATTCTTTCTGTAGGTTTTTAACTTTAGAATTGAGGTTCCAGTTGGCATGAACAGACACTGCCCCAGGGAAATCAGTGGCACATAATGGAGTTCTGGTTCCAAACCATCCAAGTAAGTTTGTATCCTATATATATTTCTGTGGACAGCGGTTTTTCCTTTGCAACCCCATATACAAAAAGAATGGCCAGGGAAATTTATTTCCACTGTATGCCAGTCTTGCTCCACATGGGCTCGCAGGCTGACTTGTATATGTCAGCAGGCTGCTTGTATAAGCAGCCCTTCTGCCTTTCTGCTCCTCTTAGCTGGGAGTGTGGATTACCACCAGCCTCGGTGACTGAATTGCACATATATTACTGACAGGAGCAATTGCAAAGCAGTTTAATTCAGAAGTGCGAGAGTTGAGTACAGACTTTCCTCCTTTCAAATAGAGATGTGTTCCTGTGTTCCAGGTAAATTTTTGCCAGTCCTTTGCACCTCACACAGACGAGTCATCACAACTCACAAAAAAAAAAAAATAATAAAAAAAAAAATTAAGCCTGGAGAAAAGTACAGAAAAGAGCAACTAGTGAGATTAGGGGAATGGAGAGCCTGCTGTGCAAAAGAAAAATAAAAAAATTAAAAAAGAAAAAGAGAGAGAGAGAGGTAATTCCTGCCTAAGAATAAATTGGGCAGAAAAAACACTAAGAAAAACACTGTAGAAAGAAAAAAGGCTGTTAAAGCTTGAGAAAATAACTGATGGTTTGCATTGCGTGTGCACATTCAGGCTGGCAAACGGAAGGCTTTGAACAATAAGAGGACTGGGTTTCTATTTCACATATGAGGGGGAGAAAAAACTACTGCAGTGGAGTTTTTTGAGCACAATAGAGCTTGATCAGTCCATGACTTAGTTGCATGCAGTAGGAGAGGAGGAACAATCCCTGCTAGGACTGTGTTTCTTTGAAATATAACAGCTCTGTTGCAAGGGTCAGGGATAATTAACTCAACATTGTGGAAGCATCTCAGACAGTGGAACATGTTCTGCTGCAGCCATACTGAAAGGTGAACATCCCACCAAAGTAGGTTATGCCTAAGCACTGGAAGATGAGCTTCATCGTCTTGGTGGAATATCCCTTTTCCATCACTTTTCTTTCTAATCATCTTCTTCCCTTCCATTCCTATTGTGAAATTTCTTATTGTTGTTCCTGTGTTATTTGTCCTTTGGTTTAGACCATTTCTTACTCTTTTTTTTTTTTTTTTTTTTTTTTTTTTTTTTTTCCCCCTATCTTTTCTACTATTACTCAATTCCTCCTGACTATGTACAGCCTGAATATAATTTTGCTGGTATGTGTTGCCGAGGTTGGATTCAAAACCCTTAGTCATTCAGTGAAGTTTTCTTCATGTCACAGTCATTCTTGTGTGAATATAATGAATGTGTGTTGCTTGCTGCAGAATCCCAGTGCTGTGTAATTGTAGCAAAGAACTGATGTAATTAACTGTATCACTTCTCTCCTTAGACACAAGAGATCCTGTTTCAAATGTAATACAATGTTCAATGGTATTGGAGGTTTTGTAGGGACAAACTCCCAATTATTAATTACTTAAAACCTATCAATTTATAAACCCTTCACTTACAAACATATTCTGCTTTGAAGGCTGACCTCATCAAAACATAAGCTTTTGGGAGAAAGTTAGGTAATTTTAGTTAGAAAGTTAGTGTAATTTTGTAACTGATAGATCAAAACTATATGACTATTAGCTAAACGTGCATACCCAGTATAATAGTTAAGTTCTGCATACTGCAGAAAAGTCATGGGGACTAAGATATGCTTTTTTCTGCAGGGGTTACGATAGGCAAAGGTTGATTTCAGCAGATCTGTGGCAACCCTGATTTGTGTAATGTAGGGATAAATAGCGCTCTAGGTTTGCTGTGAATGTGTAAACTGTTACAGGCACGTGCTGCTGCTGCAAAAGCAATTAATATTTTGAAAGCTAACATGAAGAAACTCCAGCCTGGCAGCTGCTTAACCATGTGGTTAGAAATCTAAGGCAGCCCCCTCGTGGCCATTTAAGTTTTGAAGCAATTGTGGTTTCAAAAAAACATTTTAAAATAGTCATTGCTTAGAGAAAAAATGAATGCCTCTCGCTGTAATGTTACACTCGTTAAAGGTGTTGATAACACCAACAACCTGTCATATTAATATTGTTCAAAAATACTTTTTTCGGGGTATGAATCTGAAATGATGGTATTTCCAGGAGCAGCTCTCTAAAACTTGCCTTATTACTTGTTATTACTGAATATGAGGAATGATGCTGCTAGTTAGCCTCATTTGCCCCTGTTTGAGGGTTAATTTGTTCCTATGGACAAGTAAATTACTATTGTTATTGTTGTTGTTATTATTATAATTATTATTATCATCAAAGGACTTGTAAATTCAAGCTTATACTAAAAACAGAAAGCTGCAACCTAAATCTTATGTATTCCTTATATGGCCAACTTGGAGAAATGTCCTTGTAACTTATCCTCCAGGCTGTGTCTGTAAGATTTTGTTGGCAAGTCTGCCAGTGATGTGAGAATTAGCTTGTTTTCCTTTGCAATAGAAGCATGTTTTATTGATAGAAACATGTATGCACTTAACTCTTCTTTGAAGGCAAGATTAACCTCTGAGCAGAAATCCCGCTGTATCCCTGTGCCCTTTAAAAGCAGGATTTATGAGGGACTTGAAAGCTGTCTAGATTTTGCACTGACCTGTGCCTATCTGTGTCTTTTACTCCAACACATATGCTCTGTTTTGCATGTAATCCAGCAATTTTATTTCTTGATAAGACTGTAAGTATCAGTGTGCTTCAGATACACGGCATTCAGCTTTATCTGGCCAAGTATTTCAGAGTATCTCTGTTTCCCTGGCTGCTTTCAGAACCCACACGTCTCTCAGAAGGTGCCAGGCCTCTGGTGCCCAGCGCCTCCCCGCCTGGCTCCTCTTCTGAGCACCTGGCCCCGCAGCAAGCTCCTGGGCACGCGAGCGGGCTGGGCAGGGGCAGCCGGGGGGCTGAGGCCGTCTGAGGAGAGGCGAGACAAATACAAAGGAAAGGAAGAATCCAAGCACTTCAGAGCTCAAAATACAAAGTAGGTTGGACAGCTGGGTCTTGAAGAGATGCAAGGCAGAAATGTGATGGGTGAGACACAAAAATGGGTGAGACACAAACTGGACAACAGGAGATTGAGGCAGTGAGAAAACTGAGGGGAAAAAACGCGTGCCTTGCTTTTTGAGTCGGCACATTTTGTGTTGCAACAGCTCAGAGCTATCAGCAAGGCGTGTGGCCTTGGCGTTCCGTGAAGCATTTGTGTGGCGAACTACTATTTTTTAATATTTCTGCGGCTGCGCGTGGCTGGTTCTTTCCTCAGGGCGCGCCGTGCGCTTGAAACACCCACACAGGCACGCGTGGCCCGGCGGAGCGCACCGCCCGCCCGAGGAGCACACCCGTGCCTTGTCCTCTGGGCGCAGGCTCGCTGCCGGGCTTGCCCACGGCGGGCGGGGTGAGCCCGAGCCCGAGCCCGAGGCCGCGTCCCCGCGGCCGGGGGAAGCTGCGGGCGCGGGGAAGCCGCCGAGGGGGCCGCGCCGCCGCCAGCCCCGCCTCACGGAGCCAACGGCCCGGCCGCCGCCCGCCCAGCTCCGAGCCGCCCGCCCAGCCCCAGCCAGTCAGGGCGGCCGCTGGCGGTGACGTCGCGGAGCGGCGGTGGCGGTTTGAAAGCGGCGCGGGCGCCATGGACGGCTCCGGGCCGCAGGGGCAGGGGCAGGGCAGGGGCAGCCCGGGCGCGCCGCCGACCCGCAGGAGCTCGCCGAGGAGGCGAAGCCAGGTGAGGGCCCGGGCAGGAGCAGCTGCGGCCGGGGCGGGTGTCGCTGGCGCTCGCTTTGGGAGCGAGTTAATGGCAGCGCGCGGACACCTTGGCTCTTGGGTACCCGTGTGCGGTGCCAGGCTGGTGTCTGTGGCTGCAGGCTTGCGAGCTAGGTTAAATTGTTCTGGAAGGGGTCTTGTGCTCTGGGGCTCCTGTTAGCGCTGGTGCCAGGCATTGCTATCATAGCTGCTGGATTTGATCAGGAATGTGTAAGTGTAAACAATATTTTATTTACAGTGTGCGTGTGATATGGTTTTACAGGAGTTGTTTGAAAACTTTCTGAAATTATGCGTGATTAAAGTCAACTTTTCATTTTCAGTGTAGGAGGGCTTTTTGTTATGTGTTGTAGAAAGCAGATCCGTGATGGATCTTGGGCTGAACAGGAATTCTCTGGGAATAGAGGAGTGAGCGATGATTGCATTCGACTGACAACTTGTGGGATTTGCTTTGTTCCAACTCCTCTGTCCAGATCAGCTTCAGGAAGATGAGGATATCAGCAGTGACTATGGGAGTCGTGACAAACCAGGGACTGCTTTGGGACGGACTGTACCAGATGGGAATGCACTTCTTCCAGACATTTTTCATACTGATCGTCTTTTGTTTTATGAACGATTTAAAGCTTACCAGGATTACATTTTGGGTAAGAAATTCCTTAGTGGAAAAGGAACATGTAGTCAGGTTTCTGAAATCATCCAGTTTAAGTGGAGTCAATTCTGTATTATACTGTGAGATATTCCTAAAAACAGGGGCTAGAAAACATGAAGTGTTTTGTGTTGCTGTTGGATTATCATATTGTAACTTCAGCTGCTCTAACTGGTAGAGCAGGAGGTAATGGTTTTAACGTAAGTAAAAAAAAATCTGAGTGAACGAAAGGAGAAAACGCTAATGCTGGACTCTGTGCCTTGTTTTAATTGCCATTTCTAGAGCTTTTTTTCTTTAGTGAGGCTGCTTAGGATAAGGCAGAAGTTAACTGTTTAATAGTACTGGTGCTGAAACCCTCAATACCTAGGAGATTGAGTACTGCTTCTTCTGGAGAAGCACAAAACAGATGACTCTCTATCTCTCTCGCTACTGAGATAAGCAGCAAAAATACTGACAGTTATGAGCAAAATAGAATGAAGTCTGAGTTTAGATGAGTTAGAGGGATATATTAACTGTGAATTTCATTTATCAATGATTTTGAGGACTTTTCCTTCTTTTCCTGCATAACTGTACTGCTTTAATTTTCTTTTTAGCTGACTGCAAGGCTTCTGAGGTGAAAGGATTCATAGCTGAGTACCTGGAGAAGGTCCTTGAACCATCTGGATGGCAGGCAGTCTGGCGTACTAATGTGTTTGAGGTTGTCGTTGAGGTAAATGGAATGCAGTTGTTCAGCCATTTGTCTTCAATTAACATCACTTACCTCTCTAACAGGCAGATAATTTATCTATGAAGTTTATGAGCTAGTAGAAAATTATATCTTTTTAGTATCTAATTGTCAGTAATAGCTAGAGCAACAGGAATTTCTTTCAAAAGGAGCCTTATTCTGAAACACTGTCTTGTGATACTCAAGACAGTGAGGCACTGTTCCTCCAAATGAGTTCTTTAGGGCTGCAGCATGTGTTGTAAATCCAGAAAGCCATGCACTAGATATACTTGCTATTTTTGGCATTGTTGCGTTTTTTAACCTTGGAATTTGGCTGTTATTTGTTCTGCTATTTAAGTTACTTCTGCTGTTGAATTATAGTAGAATCAGTGAGGTAGGTGAATCTAATTTTCTTTGAGGCATCAACCTAAAATAAAGTGGCATTGATATCTTGCAAATAAGCTTGATCTGGTTCCATTGTGCTGATACAGTTTATCATCTGTGTTTTTTTGAACTTCACATTCTTGGCAGGGTACGAAATGGATGATTATTGCTTTTGGGATAGGTTCATCGGTGCTAAACCAAAAAGTCTGTGCAGCGTTTCTTTCAGGCTTTAACACATGGAAATGTGTTAAAACACTGCACAATCACCTTTACATGAGTTTCTGAAGTGCTGCACAAATGATTTTCAACCTCAATGTGGCAATACAAAGCCTGTGTAATTGGCCTTATGCGAAGGGGTTGTGACAAGAACATCTCACGTGGGCTAATTTCAGGGATACCTTTGCTAGTGTCTTAGTATTTTGGTGGCAGGACTATGCCTAAATGAAAGCAATATCTTCAAGGGGTCCTTGCTGAAGCGGGGGAAGGAGGATCCCAATGCAGTGTGAGTGCGCTGTGAGGTTGGACGCGGTGGACGCAGAGGGGATAAGCACTCTTGGTTCAGAGCTGGTTGCTGAAATACAATTTTTTCAAATAACAGGCTCTGATCATTCATTATTATTTTTTTTTTGTTTGAACTTGGACATCCATTGTATGTTTTCAGAGGGGAAAAAGCTTTGAATTCCTTTGGCTTTTCAGCACAATTAATAACAAAATGGATTTCACTGGTCCAGACCAACTCTGGGGTTTCTCTGTGTCTTGTGGGTACTTGGAAAAATGAGCTACAAAGGAGTTAATGAGAACTGTAAAGTATTGATTCAAGTCTGAAAATACTGCTTTTCCCTGTCTGAAAGAAAATATAATAGGGAAGCAATTTACTAGCCTTATATGGATGTTATGAGGGTTTCGAGATAAGTTGTGAATGTGAGGCTCCAAATCTTTTGGTCCTGAGAAGCTCAGCTCTGGGTTATCACTTCAGCTGACCAGGTTGCCTTTGCTGTACTATGCAGTGTGCATTGATTTATGTGAGTCAACTGGCAGTTTGTGAGGCATGTCATGTTCACCTTCCTCAGCTGCATCTATCGCTCTGCCTAGGGAAATCCTAAGAGCTATTCGTTCCAACAGGTTGTTGACGTGGAGTACTGGGCTCTCAAAGCGGTTGTTCGACTCAGCGAGCCTTTCCTGTGTGAGGCACAGGTCAGCACCTTCACGTTGGAATGCATGCAGGAACTCTTGGAGCTGAAGGAGCGTCAGATCCCACTGCGGGAGCTGTGGGTTGTGTATGATGAGTCGGGAGAATTTGATCAGACAGCGCTAGCCGTGGAGCATGTCAGGTACAAAAACGCATAGGGTCTTATTTTGTCTTATGCAGCTGGAGTTGATAGCAAAAACACAAGGCCTGCTTTTCAGCAACTTACTCTCCGTGCCAAAAGGAGTAGGAGGAAGAAGTCTCTGCATTGCTTTCCCTCTCTTCTCCACCCCAGTCTTCCTCGGGCTGTATCACCTTGTTGGCTCTAGTGTGGTGTTTCTTTCTATTCTGAAACATTTTAATATCTCTTTCTCTTTTGTCTCATTCTTTCTTTTGCTGCAATTTGTCTCTTCCCCTAAATTTGCTCTTTCTTCATTAGGTGTCTGTTCACATCTTATTTATTCTACTTTCTTGTCCTTTCTTTATCATCTCTATCTGTTCCTCATCTCTCTCACAGTAATGTACTATGTGCTGCATGAAAAGTCTACAAATTAGCACTAGGACTGGATTAAAAAGATAAAACAGAAGGAAAGACTTCCTTGCCTAGAAAATAGGCTATGTTCCAGAAGTGGTGGGTGTGGAAGGAAAGAAGGAGAAGAGACTCGTTGTTTCGACCATTGCTCAGTAGTAGAGATATAAGCATGTATTATGGAAGTGACAAACTCCAGGTAGAAAGGAAATCTGAAGGATGTCTAGCCAAAAACAACTAGCCAAAAAGTGTCAGAATCCTGAGCGTGCAGGTCTTATTTTCAAATCCAGCTTTTAGTTATTCCATCTATTTTGGTGAAAGTCAATGGGACTCAGGCTGTTATAGATTTTTGAACTCGAAACACAAAATAAAATTGTTTATGCAGGTAACAACAGACAAGAAAGATAACTTTTGTGACTACTAAATAGCTCACAGGATGGTGACATGAAATGGGAGAGAGGTGATGTTTTGAGCTGAATTCTCAAATAGATTACATTCCTACTTCCAGTGGTTTTGTCTCTGCTTGAGTAAATCTGGCCTCCTTTGTGTTTAGACGCTTATTTTGTTTCAAAAGGTTCTTCTACCAACACATCTGGAGGTCCTGGGATGAGGAGGAGGAGGATGATTTGGATTACTTTGTGCGATGTGTTGAGCCTCGACTGAGATTGTAAGTGGTTCTTTGATATTATTAGGTAGAACCACAGGGAAAGGCAATGTGGGAATAGTGACAGACAAATTTCAAAGAAAACTCTTCACTAGTAAATCAAAGCAAGTCTGTTCTAGCAGCAGTCACTGTCTGATGCTCAAATTTTTTATAGGAAGAGGGTGCAACTGAAATTGCTGCTCGAGTCCTGCATTTTTTTTCCCCTGTAATCCTTAACCTCCCATCAGATGGCGCTCCAAATCCAGCTATTGCCTCCTTTAACTTGTAGGCTATGAAATGTAATCCTAACTAAAGCTAGCGTGGAATGCTTTCATACCTTTGGGCATTGAATAAGAACCAGAATGGAACAGAATGTAAACAAAAACTTGTAAATTCGTCATGCTGAAGGAGGAGTGTGTTCATTTCTTTCCTTTGTGGGATTAGTTGGCATTAGGCTTACTGAAGGTGGATTTTTTTTTTTTAATGCCATCTGGCTATATGAAACTGAAGCAGTGCACAAGAGCACAATCTGGTTAAAATTTTGAGGGTGCTAAATAACCAGAGCATACAATAAAATATGCCTGGGAAAGATAATTATAAGTGTTTCTTTTGCTGTATTTTTTTTCTGATGTTTGACACAGGTATGTTTATGTTTTTCATGAGTTATTGCTCATTTCCTTTTTTAAAAATCATATAATTTAGTATGAGTATTCTGAAGTTTGTATGTCATTCAGTTGCATGCTTACAACTTTATTTACTCTAAACCTTTGTTTCAGAGTAAGCTTCAGATGACTGGTACCTATCCACCTTTAAAAATTATATACTACTTAGAGAAGAATGTAATATACTTGTGTGTGTCTGAGGGTTTTGGTTTTGCTGCTTTTAAAAAAAACACCATAGTGTTGGTGCAGACTGCAGAGAGTTTTGACTTCAGTACTGGTATAGAACTTCTCAGGTTCTCTGTGGGTTTGCATTTGATCTTTCAAAATTGGAAAGGGGAAATACACTGACCCCTTGTTCTGAATTGCAGGCATTATGACATCCTCGAACACCGTGTGCCTTCTGGGCTTGTTGCTGATTACCAGAATTACTTGTCTCAAGGTGAAGAGCTCTACAGGAAGTTCTTAGACGTGAGGAACAGCATATCAAGCAGTGATTCAGACTCTGAAGTAGAAAACGTCTCCATGGTGGAGGGACTTCAGTTGTATGAGAAAATAGAGCACTTGAAACAAAAGCTAAAACTAATTGAGAATCCACTGCTGAGGTACTTAGTGGGTTTAATGCAAGGAGGAGATCCCATGTGGGAAAGCGTGTGTAGAAAATTCTTTACTGAAGAAAGCACTGATGGCTTTGCTCATGTTTTAGGTATGTGTTTGGTTACCAAAAATACAGTGGTCTCCAAGCTAAAGGACAGAGGCCAACAGGAACCAAGATCACTCATGTTGTGTCTTCCACCATGATGGCAGGTCTGCTGCAGTCATTGATAAGGGACAAACTTTGCCCTGAATCTTGTGGCGAAGAACTAGAAATACAGGTAAAGTAACAGCAATGGTCTGTTTGCCGTTACTCTTTTCTCCTCAAGAAACCACATGGAAGGATAAGTTAATTTGTCATTTGGAAGATATTGCATTTGCACGGTGCTTTTTTTTTTTTGCCAGTCTAAAAAGAGCTCTTTAAACAATAAATGATATGTTTATGATAAGTTGTAATGATAAGTATGTAATGATAAGTTGTCAATAATTTATCCTAATTTGTCTGCTGAGTACTTCATAGGAGCAGTGAGGGGGGGAAGGGGGGAAACAAGCCTTCTGTAGTAATTCCATAATAAAATGTGCTAAGGTGTAATACTTATATTTTGAGATACCCATTTCTTTTGATGTTATTAATAATGAGATCGGGTTTCAAGAATGAAATGTTCTGTTGCTCTGCTTCTGTGTAGGGAATTTATTTACTTACTAAGAACAAATATACTTAATTAAATTCAGCTAGGACTTAGCACTTAAGTGTTTAAGAATAGTCTGGAACTGTAGTTGGACCATGCTCTTAGAAGCATGGTTGGATTTTTTTTATTTTTATTTTTTGGGGTGGTCCTTTGGAGACCCAGGAGTTTGACTCTATGATCCTTGTGGGTCCATTCCGACTTGAGATATATTATGATTCTTATGAATCCTTGGGCGTAAACGAAATTGCTTGCTGTATTCTGGTCATGTTTGTGAATTGCAGGTGGGCAAAACAGACCCAAAGTGAAACTCTTGAATTAACTCTTGGGTGATAAATCTGATTTTTCTCAGCAACTGAAAAATTCTCATACAGTGCTTACCATGGAATTTACTGGAAAGCAATAAATGTGCAATTTTTCTGTACTATTTTTTACCCTTCAGTACAGAATGGCAATACTTGAGAAGGACATTAACCTGTGTTCTTTAGGCATTGATTCACTTTTTTTTTTTTTTTTTTTTTTTTTGTCCCAAGAAAAAGTGCCATGTGGACCCTGTATTTGCCATTGTAATGGCTAAATGCTGTTTTGGAGTGACGTGTTCCAGGAGTGAGGAGTTACAGTGGTGTTTGGCCAAGCTCAAATCTAATAGCTGAGTTGCCTTGTAGTTTATTTTCTTTTTCTTCTGTCATGTCTTTAGTAATTTATACAAGTCACTTGAAGCAGAATTCAAATGTTGGCCTGGAATCCAGGCCATATCGAGGTCTGCTTTCTGCTGCATATGTTCTTCAATCTGCCACTGCCCCATTTTTCTCATGGGGGGATGGACATAACACAAAGGAATGCTTTGAGGCTTTTTTTTTTCCAGAGAGTGCTATGATTCTTGAATTCAAAGTAGAAATTGCATATTATTGGTTCCATTAAAAAGGGCTTCTTTTAAGCAAAAGCAGCAACACTTAATTGAAGAACAAGCTTTTAGGGCATAAATGCATCCATTTTATAGCATTTTTTAGGAGCTGATTATATTGTTTTTTCTCTTACAGTTTCACAATGATCCACTGGCAGCTGTAAGTGCTTGTTACGAAGGAGACACAGTCATCATCTGTCCTGGTCATTATGTCGTAGATGGCGTGTTCTGCATTGCTGATTCTGTTGAATTAGAAGGTAGGGGACTTGCTAGAATAATGGTCCTTAAAATAAAGTAAATAACGTGTCTTTAACTTAGCTCTGCTTAGAGGTTTGTTATATTTTTGCAGAGTTTGGCTGGAGCATTTATTTTTTTTTTCTTTGAACTGTTCCTATTTCTGCTTCGCGGAGCTGTGTCTATTTCAGGAAGGAGTAAGCCGTTTCATTACCCATGATCATTTCTGCAAATAAGTTTTAACTTTTGCTGATTAATGGCAAACTCACTATTTCCTCCTAACTATTTGCCTGGATAGATCCTGGTTATATAAATACTAGAGGGGATCCGACAGCAACACAAGTGTGTTGATTTTTAATTTAATAAACACTAAAATCATTCTGGAGAGGTCTCAGTTTCTAAAGTATTTGGGAGAGGTCCTTGTTTTCCTTTGCTTGTCTTGATCTGCCTCAGAGGCATAGTCAGACTCACTGTCAGGGTAGAACTGGTGAATACAGAGAAAGAGCCAAGTGCTATTCAAACTTAGTTTATGACATTTGTTGCATGTCAGCTATGTGTGTGGGGGCTACTGATGTGGATCTGTGCATTATGTGAAGCACATATACAGAGAGTGCTATTGGCTTAATATGCCCTTTTATGCTGTAGAAGTGGATGCAGCATATATGTCTGTTTTTCTCTCAAAATATTTGTTTGAAATACTTTTATCTTGCCTAGGATATGTTGCTTTCTCTTCCTCACAATTCTTGTTTCCTCAGCATAATGTCTCTCCTTTAGGTATGCATGCTGTTGCAGTGTAATGGTCTGTGTATCACTGGGGCTTGTGCAGCTGTTCAGATGCTTCTTCAGCTGCATTTCTTATCTTGTCAAAGCTGCATAATGGGGAAGGCTGGGAGTTTAATTTCCTGCTGTTCTGGATTGTATTTTTCTTGTCCTTATTTTATGAGTATCGTTTTCTTTCTTGCCCTTCTCTTGTGTGTGCTTGGTTTGCATAGAAATGAATGCTGATGGACAATGCACCTGCAGGATAAAGGAGCTCAAATTGTTTTATTTGTCTTCAAAATGGCATTGTTCTAAAATTGTGAGGGGACAACTTCTTTTGTAGTTTTGAGGAAACGGGAATGCAAATGGTGAAATAGCACACCTATTAAAGGATGAGCTACTCTATTTTAAGGAGCAAGGCATATAACTGTATCTTTAGTACAAACCACTCTCTGGGTAATGAATATGTCAGGGTGTTTAATCTTCTTATATGGACTTCTGTTAGAAGTTTTTATGGCAGCAATAGCAGCTGAAAACATTTGAAGTAAGAGCATCAAGAAAAATTCTGCTGGCGCTAATCTGAATAGTTGGATGTTTTGGTGGCTTTTTTTGGGATGAAAGGGTGACTCATCAAAGAAATAATGTTGTTTTGCTTAGTAGAGATTTTATTTCTTTTCCAGTCACTGTGCAAGCCAGTACTAAGGTTGAAAGTACGAGGATTAGTAAGTCAGGGATAAACAAAGACTTACAAGAACTAAGTAAAGTTAAAGCAGTAACAGATGCAGGAAGCCCTAGTCAGGATAGCTTTAGCACTTGACAAAAAAATGTAGCAAAGGTACTGAAGAACTTTGCTCCACCTTGTTTAATAGTTTAAGCTGGAAAGGAACCTGTAGTATCAACCCATCCAAAACCCATGATCAGTGTTACTGGATGACAATTGCCTGTAGCTCCTGGGGAGTCCCTTAACTTACAGGCAGGGCATACGGCCCTGACCTGGCTGGGTATTGACTACTATTTGATATCAGGTGAATCATTCCTTCTCTGTTCCTTGTCAACAGCTTCCTTTACTGCTAGAGCTGCTGCTTCAGAAGTGAAGCAAATTAAAAGCTTTGTTAGAAAATCTGTAGGTACTCTGTAGGACAATTATTCCTAAAGCTTTTTCCACTGTTGTGTAGTTAGACTGGATCTGCTATTTATGGTCCCACAATGCTCTTTACATACTGGAAGTAAACTGCTCCCTGCCACCTCCTCCCTAGCAGCACTGGAAAAAGATTCCTGGCTAGTATAGTGTACTTAAGTGTCAGTCAGCTCAACTACATTAAATCTGCTGTCTTTAAAACTTTCTCCCAACTCTTGTTCAAAGGCTCTTTTTTTTTTTTTTTTAACCTTTCTACTTGCACATTAGAGTATTTATTTATGTACTTGGTTAAAAGCTAGCATCCCGTTCAGGCACTTCTTATCTAAGCTTCTGTGTGTGTGTTCAGAAAATGATAGGACTCATGCTGCTCTAATAGATGCTTGCATTATTGCTTTCCTTATCATGATTCTTGGCAGTGACAAGCAGTAAAAGCTTTACATGCTCATAAATTGCCCTGTAAGTGGTTGAACGCTGACAAGTGTGGATGGCTTTAGTAAATCAATGCTGGCATATGCTTTTGAAAGTTTCCTTTTTAATCTGAATTAATCTGGAAGTCCCTGTAACACTGGAATGTCAAGTATTGACCCAGGCTTCTCTAAATAGAGAAGCTGAGTTAAGTTTAGTAACAATGGGGAGTCCTTTGCACTTGTTTCCTTGCTTTCTGATGGGGACTGCTTCTCCCTGCTCCCTGTGCTATTTGGAGCCTCTGCCTGCTGCAGTGAGCTGCTGTACTGGAAGCAGGCTGCGGGTGCCCATAGTGGCTGTGGTTACTGCACCTCCATACCATGGTGCAGTCTGGGGAATAAGAACTTTGCCCTCAGCAAGTGTTAGCCCTTTGTTTAACTGGCTAAAATAACTGTATTTTATTATATTATGTGTCTGTCATTCAAGGAAGGGAACTTTTGAGTTTGGTTGTTTTTTGTTGGTGGCGGAGTTTTTTGAGCACCTGGGTCTTGGTATACAGGAGATGTACATGTAAGGTGTGCCATGGCCACTGGGGGAAAAATCCTGTTCAAGATACTCAAGGATATCTCGAGTTCCAACCCTCTCTTACCTCATCTGAATGTCTGCTTAGGTACCGAGCATCTGATTACCAGTTACTCAACAAACTTGTGTCTTTCACCTCTGCTTTCAGGCTATGGCCTGCCAGATGATATTGTGATAGAAAAGCAAGGGAAAGGAGACAACTTTGTTGACTGTACAGGAGCCAACATAAAGATCTCCAATTTGAAGTTAATACAACATGATGCTGTGGAAGGGATTTTAAGTAAGTGTAAAAGTATCTTGAACTTTTCGTGAATCTTTTATAATTTTCTATTAAAATTAAGTCAGGGATCCACTCTTACAATTTACTGGTTTTAACAAAATACTGTAGGAAAGAATCCTACAGATGTAAATGTTAAGGCTTCCTTTTTGTTTCTTTCCCACTTGCTTATAATGTGGACATCAAAATAACTTCTGTTGTTTGTACTTTCAGGTTGTTGTGGCTCTTAGGCTTTATTCTTATTTTTGGATAAGATAATTTGTCTTAATGTTTCGGCTGTTATGGCAGCCTGACTGACCACTGCAGAGCCTCTGCCAGGCTGCCTGGAAAAGGAAATAATTTCTCTTTCCACAAAAGAACTCCCATGACAGTATTCACCTGTAGCTGAACCCAACCAGCTCTCCATTGAGGAATGGCATAGACTTTAGAAATAGTATAGACCTTTGTTTACTAAAAACACATTTGAACTGCCATTCAAATAATCCCAAGTTTTATCCAGTGAGTTTGGCCATGACCTTCTGTCTTTTCAGAAGGTGCTAATTAATACTTTGCCTTGACAGACATTTATTTGTTTTTAAATGTTTAAAATGTTTATTAATACCCATATATTTGTATTTAATATATTATTAATTCAGAGGATTCTTAGGCGTATAGAAAAAAGAATCATTGTTGTCACTTTCAAACAAACAAACAAAACCACCCAAAACTAAAACACTTCTAAGACAAATCTTTGACTAGGGTTCCCTTACAGTTTTTCTGCTGATATTAGGAAAAACAGTGTGAGTTCCAACTACGCATGGGCAAATCAATAAAATTAACATAACGTATGATTAAAATGATCATTTTCTCACACTGTAGAAAACACTACAAGTCCATGTACCTGTAGGAGGGATTTGCCTTTGCGTAACCGATTCATTTAACAATATTTGTTGTCTGTGTATAGGTGTCCATCAGGGGAAAACTACTCTGGAGAATTGTGTGTTACAATGTGAAACTACAGGCATAACAGTGCGAACATCAGCTGAGCTGTTAATGAAAAACTCAGATCTGTATGGTGCCAAGGTACAAATGAATTCTTAACTCTGGCTATTTCCTAAATTAAAATAAAGGGTTCTGGTTTGAAATAATACTTCAGTAAAGGGGTGGTTTCTGTCACTCTTAAGAGTACCTTTAAAAAGTGTCTTGGACAGCTTTGTGTTAATAGGTTTAAGAAATTGTTTACAGTGGTCTTGTGGCCTTCAATAGTATCTAGTGAAGTATCTTATGTTGATTTGTATGTGATGATACGAAAATGATACAGTTACAGGGGATATCTATGAAATAATGACTGCTGCCTTGCTGGACTTATTCTTGTCCTGCAATACCTTTAACGTGATTTTTTTTTTTGTTTTCCTTGTACATAAGTCATTTTCTAATTAAACCATGTATTTGGCAAATGAAATGCCCTTTTTGGACACCTTATCCATTGATTCTTACAGAATGATGATAAACACAGAATTGAACTCTGAATAGGGCACTTTGGAGAATGATGGGGCTTTGAGTGTTGGAGTGGATGACTAAAGATCAATAAAGCAATGCAAAGTTGCGTGGTTACTCCTTGCCAGAGATTTTTATGGGCTGGTGGCAATAGTATTATTCATGGAGCCTCAACGTTCATATTACTGCTCAAGTTAGTTCACAAAGCTGTGGAGCTGGGGTGGTAACGCAATTTTACCTTGTGCAGCTGGTGAATGAGCACAAAGATCCGTAATGGAGTTGTCAAGCCAAACTGTAAATGTGCCCCAAATTATTTATGTTTTGTGAACTGCAATCTGTTTTATCTTGTAGGGTGCTGGTGTGGAAATATATCCAGGGAGTACATGCACCCTGTTAGACAATGGCATACATCACTGCAAGGAGGGAATACTTATAAAGGTCAGTTCAAAGCATAATGCACTTTTTTAAAATTAAAAAATAAATATATATTCTTCTTAGCATTCAATTCTTATAGGCTGTTAGAATTGATGCAATGACTGCTGTTTAAATTGGCTTATAAACTTGCTGCTTTGTGTGTCACGTCTAATGATGATGGTGCTTGTTGTTTGCCTTGGGTTGGTACACCAAAGCAATATATTTGTTTTATTCCTTATCTGTCAGAAAGAAAATCCCTTTTGCACTGTCACTGGTATTGGCTAGCATGTTATTAGCCTATCCAGAGAACTGACTATCCAAAAGTGGAAAGGTTTGCATCCCTTTAGCTGGACATAACATGCTGGATGTCTGTTTCTTTGCTGTAGAACTTCTTAAATGAACGTTATGAGATCCCCAAGATAAGCATGGTCAATAACATGATCCATAATAATGAAGGATATGGTGTGGTCCTGGTTAAACCAACAATTGCGTCTGATGTAGAGGATGCTTCAGCAATGAAAGGTATTTTTCTGACTTCCTATAAGTAAATCGTAAAAACATTAAATATATAGCATACCTATGTTTTTAGATTGCCTAATCCATAATTGAATTTTAAATTTTCTTATGATCTGTAATTTGATTCATCTTAAATCTTCATCTTCAGCAAATTCCATTGTTCTGATAGTTATGGATTATAAACTTCAGACAAATCCTGTGAATGTCTATGCTCCATGTCATGTGGATGCTTACACTTTTAAAGTCCTTAGACATTTGATCTATGCTCCTGATGAACCAGAGCCTGTGTAACTCATGGGCTACCTGAGTCATACAGAAAGAAGAGTGTAATCAGCAAGAAAGCAGCTATAGCTTCTCTTATAGCTGTTCTGGTTCATAGTTCTCTGCAGTTTTCTTCCTTTGTACACTAGATCTGAGACATGGATTAGCCCAGTCTCCCAACACAGAAATTGTTTTCTGCAGTAAATGAAATGTTAACAACTCTATTTCTCTTTTTATGTCTTAATCAAGGAGTGTCATGGTCTTAAGTGCAGTGTGTAAACCCACTGTAACTTTCTCTATTATCATTATCACTTGGCAGCCTGAAGTCATCACAAGAAGAAAACTCTTCTTTAAGTATCATATGCTGTATTTGAAATATATGGCTGACATTAAATTGTTTTCCAGAAAGTATGGGTGATGCAAATGTTAAGACTGAAGAAAACATAATTCCAGGAGTTTTAACTGATTTGGCTGTTTTGAGGATGACATTCTCATTGTTTCCTGACTTAGGGAATACACAGCCTACCTTGTCAGGTGATGGGAGAGCATGTGTAGAGGGCTTCAGACAAGAAGAACTACCTGAATGTGTGACTGATGAGTTGGAGCTTTATGAGCAAATTGAGACTTCTGAACAAACTGAAGGCAATTATGAAATTGCAAATGAACTTGGTGCTGCTTCTGTGAAGAAGAACCAGATGCACAAGAAAAGGCTGAGTAAACTGGGAATCACAGAAGCTGATGACAACTTAATGTCACAGGAAGTGTTTGTTTCTATTGTGGGCAATCAGTTCAAATGGAACGGGAAAGGGAGTTTTGGTACATTTCTCTTCTGACTGTCCTGCTCCTAGTGGCATTGCAATAAGAAATTTGCACAAGCTGTTATTTTCACTCCTGCTTTCCAAGGAGTTAACATGTTCTATCAGCCTTCCATAACATTACTAGAATGTGACAAATATTTATTGACAACGTATATATTGCATGTGGAAGCTTCACTTCTTTGCTGCAAGCATGGACAACATGGTAGAAAGCAGAACTCTGCTTGTCGACATACTTGTTCGTTGCTAGCTCTGATGAATTTTGTAGTATATTTATTTAACCTCTCTTAAAAAATCTTCCAAAAAAAGGTTCACCGTGGAAGAGTGGCTGACAAATGTACAGCAATAATTGGTACACCTGCCTCCATATGTTTGTAAAAGCACAACTAGTCTGCGGTGCCTCCTATGAGAGACTGACTGAATTTGTATGTTGAACAGAAGCTAGTGAAATGTTATTATGAAATGTAGTAGTTAGCTGCCATGCTTTATACTTGAAGGATTTTTTAGGGAAGTTAGCATCTGGAAACTTAGCATCATTCAGTCAGCTTCGTGTGCCATCTGTTTACTTCCAACAGCAACCCCTGCCTATGCAACTTTTCCTTAGGGAAGACAGCATCAAAATAAACTATTAACATGAATAAGGAGCAAACAAAACAGCTATTTGTGACTGTTAGTTTTGTTCCTACTGTATATTTCTGTGCCTTATTCTACAATATTTAACACTGCTCTGCCTCTTGTAGCAGCAGAGGTATTGGAAATAAATGGAAAATTAAAAATACTTTGCACTGAAATCTCATCAGCACACGGCTGTGGAACATTCTGCAAAACAAAGGTGTTTCAGTGTCTTACTGTTGTTCTAAGTCGTTTCTTGAAAGAAGACTTGAACGGACTGCCTGAATGAAGACTCTTCCTTCTCAGTGCCTCCTTGATCCTTAATTGCAAATCCAAATGCCTTATTACAAATTTTTATACTGTCTTTGGTTATTGTAGATCAGTTTTTGAAGTGATATGTGGAAGTACATGTGAGAAGATACTCAAAAGTGGTGCAGGATGTCCTGTACAATATGGTATTAAGAAGGAGAAAGCATGTTGCCAGCAAATAGAATTCAGAATAGTTCCTGCAAGTAGCTTAGCAGGTATATACCTTCGCTGGAAATGCAATGTGTTGCCTAAGGTGGATGTCAGTCATCTGCTCCAGGTTTTTCACTCCGTCTGTTTCTTAAACTACAGTGAGAATCAAAATTCACTTCAGTACATAGTTTGTGTGAGCAGAAGATGTGAAGAAAAAGAAGAAATGTATGTTAGAAGCTTTTTTTTTTTTTTTTTTTTTTATGAACCATGGAACATTAATTGCAGCTTTCTTATCCCACTGCTTCTGGCTTTGTTCTGCTCAGGGCACACGACTTCAGGACTGCACTTTGAGTTTTAATGAGACTGAAAACCATGACAGTGTCTCATCCTGCACAAACCAACAAATATTTGCATTTTAGAGACTCTAAAGAAATACTTGAGTCAGGTGAAAACCCACTGCTCAAGCTAGCGCTAGTATAATATCTTAGGCTATTCATGAAGTCACATGCCATGTTTAATGCTTTGATATTATGCCTTTATTTCCTGAGTGTAATACTAATTAAATAACTGGGCCTAAAACTGATGTTGTTGTTCTTTTATCTTTTTCAAAACCATGATTTTCCTTGAGTGAGCTGCCTTCATGATGTGTACACAGTATTTCTTTCTCTTGCAATTCATCTTAAAGCTGTCCTTTTTTTTTTTTTAAAAAAAAAAAAAGCTTATCTACCTTTTTAAAATTCAGTTTTAAGTCAGGGAAGATACAAGTTAAAATATTCATCTTCTGCTTTCAGTACTGCAACTAGTTTGCCTGTGCCAGAGGCTGATGTTGATTTTGTTATGCAGGTTGTCAGAAGTTGAAGGATCAAAATGTGAAAAGATGAGTCTGCTAATAAAACTTTGAGCCACTTCCTTTGTGCAGCAATTATGAAATTGTAGCTTGGTTCTTGATGATACTTGAACCTTGAAGGACAAAAGTGAATGGAGTCTTTTCCTCTCTGTGGAATTTGGCTTTTCAGTCATGTATGTCACTTATAAATGCAGGCTTCTTTATTTTGCAGTTCTGAAATGGCAAAGGAGATATGTTTAAATATGAAGGAAAGAACTGAAGGAACTGTTGACCAAAACAAGATATGTGCTCATCTTAGTATTGCATTTTGCTGTAGGTTATGTTTGCATTTTCTGCTCTGTGTAAATATTTTCCTTATCTTTTTCCTTGAAGTTCTTATTTTTTAAATTTATTAAATGTTTCTTAAAGGTATTTGATGCTACAGTGATGACTAATGATCTTTTCTCTGGGAATGTTCCCTGCCTCCTAAATTAGAAACTAATTCCTGAATGTGTTCTAGCACAGCTGTCAAAGAAAGCTAATGAAAATATTTAGTTTCAAGAAATGCTTAAGCAGCTGCAAAATCACTTGCAGGATATTTCCCCAGCCCGTGTGTATAGCCTGTTGTTCTTAGACTTGCCATGTTTTGCCCTTAATGTGTGATGTAGTTTATCCTATGGCTTGTCTGGGACACTAACAATCCAGCTTATTCTTTGTCTGGCCTTTCCACTATTTATTCTCTTGGCAACTTTGAGCTTTGTCTTTAACCTTTTTCCTGTCTCTTTATTGTTGCTGAGCAGCACAAAGCCAAGGATTCAGCTTTTTTTAGCAGGATCACATAGGTAAAATCACTTCACTTCCTTTCCAATTTTAAAACCTACCAATGGCTACTTCCATACAGATCTGAGATACTAAGATGTGTTGCTCAGTTCTTATAGCTGTATAATTGTACTATACAGATGCTACAACACTTTAATCAAGAAATCTTGTGTTCTCAAAGTTGTAATGATGAGATTTATATTCCACAAATCATGTTGTATTGGTATTTCATTTAATTATGAGGCCCATATCATTGTTACTTCAATGCTTGCTGTAAGGCTGGCAGGCTTATAGTTGTCCAGGTTATTCACTTGATTTGCAAACAGAAACAAAGCCTGACAGTACTAGGACTTTTTTTTCCTCCCTTTGGAATTTGCAGTTATTCCAAATCTACATCCTAGATCTGGAAAAATGCTACACACACACACACACAGAGCTTAATGAAAATAACTCAAAAAAAATAAGTTTCTGCATAACTTCTCCTGATGTGACTTGATTAGAGGAGCAATCAATGCTGCAAGGTGCCTGTTTCTTATTGCAAGGTAAGGGAGAGCTGAAATAAGTCTAGCCTTTTTTAAATGGAAATAAATAATGATGTCTACGTATGTTGTCAAAATGATAATTCTACATTGCAACAGGCTTGTTAGCAGCACTATGTTGTTATGTCAGATTTTTTTTTTTCTTCCGGTGCAAAGGAATTTTGTCAGCTGGCTGGAAGCTTTTTAAGGCAACATTTTGCCTCATTTACTGATGTGTAGTGTCTTTTTTTCCCTGCAAGCATAAAATCTGTTGGAAACATACAAACACTGGGGATTAAAATGGAAACTGATCTGAAACTGGTAGGTTCATCTTTTATAGGCCGGACATGATTTCTGCATGGTGCAATTTGAAACAGTGTGATGCAGGGCTCTTCTTTTTGTCTGTTTACTGATAAAATGAAAGCATAATTTTCAGAATTTCTGAGAAGGAGGAATTTTCAACATCTTTGTTTTAAAACTGCTTTAGAACAAACAAACAAATAAAAAATGGTAATATAAATCATTTGTTAATATGATGGTGGCAGTAAGTGGAGTTGAAAGATCTGTATTTTGACATATTATTTTTGATGTGAGCGTTCTGGGTTATCCATCTATTTTCTAAATGATCTGCCTTGTTTTTAAGGGTGGATTATGGATTCTTAAAAACTTTTTGCTTTATTTGGAAGTCAACTTTTTAGAGTGATATCTAACCTAGTTAAGGGAGGATCAAGAGTTATACAAGTAATAAAGGTATTGATCGACACCAAGGAAGGTAAGGAGGGCAGGAGTTAGCTGAGCCTATTCTTGTACCAGTCAGTAATTATGTGTCTTCTGCGTCTAGAAACCAGCAGCACATCCCATCCTATCTTTGTTTCTAGTTAGCTGTGAGTGTAGTGATGTGAGAAGGAATTTTATAGACTGCACTTGTTGCAAAGACTTACAAAACCTTGAAAGTCTGAGCTAAGGGCTGAGGAGCTGGTGTAATAAATGGTCTGCCTGGATGATCCCTTGTGAGTTCCACTCTCAATATAAGCAGCAGTTGGTGACAGCCTGGATGTAAGAAGGTTTCCTTAGCAGATGACTGAGGGTGATCAAATCTGCTATTACAGCTTCTGGTGACTTGCCTGATGGAGTTTTAGTCTTACTTTCTAGTGTACCTATAGCCAGGGTAGCTGCAGCAGCTGAGCAACCAACTGCTTTAATAGCTGGTGCCCTGTGTTGGTCGTGTTAGTTCACATTCGTATGTGAGCTAGCAGTTTTAAAGCTACAGATATGCTCTGTGGGTAGATGTAAAAATGACACTGTAAACAGGTGTAATTGTTGCCATTGAAAGTAGTACACCTGCATCTGCTAAGGCAAGATCTGCAAAAAATATTTTGTGTAGGCATCTTAGTTCAATGTGGCTTGAAAGCGTGCTTTTAATAGTACCCCTTTGACTCCACAGAGTTGAAGGGGTTGGAAGGGACCTTGAAAGGTCATTGGGTCCAACCTTCAATCTTCCTCTTTCATTAAAAATCTTATTCAGAGTACAACAACTATCACAATTTGGGATTTTTGTAATAGAAAGCCAAAAGCTTTGGCTGAACCTGCAACTATAATACAATTACAGAATTTTATTGTATTGACCTAATTCATTTAAAAATATATCCTTGACTGAGCAGTCTGCTCTAGATGACACCTGTTGGTTTTTAAGTTTATTAAAAAGAAAGGATGAAAGAAAGCAAAATGGAGAAAGATAGCAATTTTGATAGGTCAGGGGTTGGGTAGTATGTAACCAACCACTGTATTGGTCCCCTGGGGGTGGAAAGAGAAATGAAGGAGAAGGAAGTCAGTGTGTGTGTTGAGCAGGTACCATTTCAGTGCTGCTCCTAGCACCACTGTCCAAATACTTGTAATATTACAAATACCTCTGGGAGACTAAGCTCGCATCCCTGAGATATGTAACAGCTGAGATCTTGTGAGATATTGGGGAAACTCAAAAAGGTGCTTTTCCAGGTTGTGTGCAGGGAACAGGCTGGTGGTGTTGGACTTCTCATTGCTCAGCAGTGCAAAGCTCCTCAACTCAGAGTTCCTCCTTATGTCCTGGACAAGTAGATTTCTCACTTTACTGGGTGAACCAACTATCCAGTTTCAGTAGCTGTCTGCTGTCTAGCACAAGTAGTTGCTCTTTCCTCATTTTTACATGTGTGGCTGTGGATTACACAGAAATATCAACAAAGCGTTAAAACTACTTTCAGCTTCTTAGTTGTGTTGTTTCTAGCTGCTTTGGACTGACTCTTGTGATTGACTACTGCTCCACAGGCAGGTTTCATCATCTGCTGATCACAGTACTTGTGTCACACTGTGTGATGCATTTGTGTGATTTTTGGTAAATGACCAGGCCATTTTAACCAACTCTAGTAGGCCTTAATCTGTCAGCAGAAAAATAAAACTTAAAAGCAGCGGTAGAACACAAGTACCACTTTATTAAGAGTTCTCAAAGTCTTTCAGATCTTCCCTTCAAAAGCTTACTTCAAAATAAGCACTTCTGTTCAAACGCTTCTCCAGGTTTGGTGTGCTTGTTTAATGGAGTGAAGCATGTTTGTCACAGGTATTTATCACATTAGCACATTCTTGACCCTCTGAGTCTCCCCATGGGGCTATTTTTAAAGGAAGTGCTATTCCCTGATAACGCCCACAGCTCATTGCAGCTTGGGAGAGAAATACCACAGGTTCAAGTTTGTCTTTGGCTGGCAGATTACCTTCTATCTGAACTGAAGTGGGCTAATGCTCAGTGCTTCTAAAGCTTTCCGAAACCCTTTTTTGATATTCTGAAACAGAAGGTACTCTGCAGAGTATCTGACCCTGTACTGTCCTTCCACCCAATTTATTTCTCCGGGGGGTAAATAGCTGTGACTAATGTTGCCATGTTAAGTGGCAGGGTATTATGATGTCTCAGTTTCCCCCACTGAGGTTAGAGATGGCAGCACTGGAAGGAACAACAGTCCAAACAGCCTCCAGTCCGGATCTCCTGCTGCACTCTTCACCCTGCAGCACAGTTGGGATTGGTGCAACACCTGCATATGATCTAGCAAGTGAAAGCCCTTAAAGATAGATTAAATATAGGTAAGATTTGACTCAGGACTGAAGGGAGTAGATATATCACAGGCTACTCTACTTCTGTAAGATGCCAAAATCTGTCTAAGCTGCCCTCTGCGCAGAAAGTGACACTGCTATTCATGTCCATAATCAGCTGTATCCAAATAGGATTATGTATGTATACAACTATGATTAAAGAAATCTTAGTCCACAGCACATAAATGCTCCTAAGGAAATTTCCCTTCAGGCGGTTATCAAATGGAATGGCTCAGCTCTCCCAGGCAGTGGACCATGTGCACTGGATCTGGCCAGGCTTGGCATATCCAGCTGGTTACTGATGAG